AACATAAACCAGACATTTTAATACTGCTGAATCCTAATCTGGCTATTCACAATTAACAGGAAATTTCAGTGGACTTTAAGAGGCCAACAGTGGTTCTCACACATGGCTATATATGTAAGGGATGGTAACTTACAGAATAAATGCTGCTGTGACATCATTCAACCTTATAAAAAATTAAGGTCATTTGTCTATCCATGGAAATATGTATGTTGACTGATGTTAAAAGAAGGGAGTAAAGAGATGATTAATATTTGATTTATTACACACTCTTAAGGCAAAATTAAAAATAACAGTAGTGTCTGTACTCAGTGAGATCTACAATCCCAGAACCACTGGTTGATCTTGTTGAGAGGGAAGGAGTGACATGTGATGGGGATTGAAAAGCCACCCGAAGTTATAAGCATCCTGTGAACTATATAACACACGTCTTTTATATGTATATATAATCCTATATAATAAAAGCCTAATATGCAAATCGACCAAATGGTGGAACGAATGGCAGAACAACCAGTGGAACGACCAGTCGCTATGACACACACTGACCACCAGGAGGCAGACACTCAATGCAGGAGCTGCCCCCAGCTGGCAGACCCCAGGCCAGCCAAGGCAGGTGCCAACGGAGGCCCCCCCGATCACCCTGCCGGTCACCCTGCAGATCAGCCCTGATCACAGGCCAGGATTAGGAACCCTACCTATGCAAGATTTCATGCACCAGGCCTAACATTTTTCTTGAAAGGATGGCAGATAAAACCAAGAGTTAAATAATAAGATGCATTATAATAAATTACTTAATTACTTTAACAGTTAAGTTGTTCTAAAAACAAATTGAAACTCTAAACATAAAGAACTAAAGTTTCAATAATGCTCACATCATGAGGTTAACCAAACTAACAGAATAACTCTTTTGCCTTGCACAATAACTTGACTCTTATCTTAAAACTAATGAACACACAACATCATAGAGTATTAGGTTTGCCTGTCTTTATATTGCTTAAAATATTGCATTTTTTGTCCCATTTCCCTCTCCCCATCCCTGCAGTAAATCAGACAATGATTTTTTAAGTAAACAAAACAATCACATATGCTTAATTGAATCTACTCATTGATTACTTAGTGTATTCTTGGCGGTCATATGTTCCTAAGTATGTTTCTTTATGTATAGGTACATATAAATAATCATCACTTTTGTCTCACATTGTTCCATAAGCCTACATTGTTGTCTCTCCAGAATTCTGAGCTCCTTCAAGGACCATGATTTCTACCTCTAGTGGAACACTTAAAAGTAAGGCAAACTTCAATTCTAATCCCATGTCTGAGCCAGTGACCTTGGGCAACTAAAATGAGGCATAAATCTATAATCTGCAAATTTAAGGATAAATAAAACTTTTAGTAGGGTTGCTGTGAGAAGCAAATCACTTAATGTGTATAAAATACTCAGAAAAAACACATGGCAAAGAATGCTTGATAAATAACTAATAATTTTATATGTATTTATTGATTTTTAGAGCGATGGAAGGAGAGAGAGAGTAACACTGATGAGAAACATTGATTGGCTGCCTCCTATAGGCCCCCTACAAGAGATCGAGCCCACAGCCTGGGCATGTGCTTTGACCAGGAATAGAGCCAGCTACTTCTTGGTTCATGAGTTGATGCTCAACCACTGAGCCACATAAGCCAGGCAACTAGGTAATATATATGCTAACATCCTGCTATATACTCTAGACTAGTGATAGTGAACCTTTTGAGCTCGGTGTGTCAGCATTTTGAAAAACCCTAACTTAACTCTGATGCCATGTCACATATAGAAATTTTCTGATATTTGCAACCATAGTAAAACAAAGACTTATATTTTTGATATTTATTTTATATATTTAAATGCTATTTAACAAAGAAAAATCAACCAAAAAAATGAGTTCGTGTGTCACCTCTGACACGCATGTCATACGTTCGCCATCACTGCTCTAGTCTAGACTATGGTAGTATGGTGAAGGGTACAGAAAGTGTATAAACATAATTTCTTTACTAAGTAAAGATTGATAAACATAAAATAGTGAGACTATTTGTGTACTATAACTGCATGCTACTGAAAAAAAAACAAACCCAGGAAATCAGTCAGTGCATTCTGATATGTTTTCACAAAAGATATGTAGCTAAGCTGGAGGTGGGATTCTAGAACGGGAGAATAATTTAAAGAAAGGTACAGGGGCAGGAGTAATTTAGTTGTTGCAAAGGGAACATAGGATAGTGTGGAGCAGCGAGTAGTTGAGAGGATGTGGTAGAGAGAACAATGACCTAATTGAGTGTATGTTCTGGGAAGAGTAAAATAATAGTGGATTTGTAGGCTTAGTTCACCTTCTAGAAAAGCTTGAAATACAGGCAAAAGGGTTTAAATTTAATATGTGGACAAGAGAAAGCCACTGAATGTTTGAGAGCAATATATATGACATTTTTAACTAAAACAAAGATAAGGCAAAATTTATCAGTTATGAGGTTATCAAAATTTAGTAGTGATATTTTTAATGATAACTTGAGTTGAAAAGTAACACTTGTGACAATGAAGAGGGGAAAATGACTCTAAATTCATACTAACTGGAGAAAAGTAAAAAGAAACTGAACAGGATGAGTCATGTAATTTTTATAAAGTCTTCATTTCATAGATATAGTACATAAATATTCACCTATCATACATTCTCACTAGTGTACATAGTCATTGTATTATCTTTGTAAGCCAGCCAAAACACATATATTTTCTTCTCTTTTTTTAGAAAAAGGAAGAAGTAAGTAACACCGAGAAATTTTCCTATAATTTTGCATTGTGGTAGTAAAAATGCTAGAACCATTCAGTCAGGGGTTTCCCCTAACATAGAGCTCATTAAATACTTCTCTAAGTATTAAGAGTATGATGCAATGTATCTATAACAATATGAGCTTGAATTGTATTTATCTTAGCCAAACCTAATCAGTGTTTGTTTTTTCCTGGCCTGCGCCATGTGTACCAAAGCATTACATCTATTGTGAATATTTGTGTTAATAGCTCATGGCTAGTTTGAGGTAGATGACAAACACGCATACAACTGTGCAGTTAAAAGTGAGAGGGAGCCCAGCCCATGTGGCTCAGTGGTTGAGCATCGACCCATGAACCAGGAGGTCACTGGTTTGATTCCCATCAGGGCACATGCTGGGTTGTGGGCTCGAACCCCTGCTCCCCAATAGGTGGAGTGAAGGAGACAGCTGATCCATAGTTCTCTCTCATTGATGTTTCTATCTTTCCATTCCTCTCTCCCTAAAATCAATAAAAAACATGTTTTAAAAAAGTCTGATGAGATGATAAAGATATTTTAACTTGAACTAATTAATTAGTATAGGTGATAGTGCTAATTCACACTATTAATTAATTGCTATGGGGGGAATAATACAGTTGTATTTGGATATCATAGCTTTTAACCAATTAGATATGATTGTATTTTCTTATGAGGGTAATAATTTTACTCAGATAGTCTAAGCTAATATTTAGTACTTTTCAGTGCTAGGAGTGGAGAAATTCCACAATACAGCCTATTTAATTTCTGAGGTAAATTACTTCATTAATTACTTGAGATGGCAAGTTCTTGCCACTTCACCCTAATAAGTAAGCTATTTTCCCCAAATTGCTAAAAACACAACTTCTCCCATTGGCTACTAGCCTAGTGTCTAATTGCCATCTGGAGTATTTGGACTCAAAGCATTAGGTAGTGATGAAACTATATATCACTATTTGTTCCCTCACACCATTTACTGCCTGCAAACTCCTTGAAGGCAGGGATTATGTCTCTATTATTTAGTGCTTTCTCAGAAAATCCTAGAAGGAAGAAAAAAGAAGAAATGAGTAAAGGCAGAAATGAACTGTAGAATGAAATTAATGTTTAACAAAACTACATTTCCAGGATATATTTAATATATATTTAATAATGATAATGACATTTAAAAAATCTGGCATCACTTTATTATTTGAGGAATTAGGAAAAAATAGCTATTGGTGATGTTGATGAAAA